AAAGATGTTCCTATAATACCATTTGTACACATACTTTACCCTATATTTTTATCACGGTAGTATCAAGCTGCCAGTTTTTCATTGTTAACTTTTCTTTGTCTATGTCCTCTGTTGAAGCTCCTGCAGGCGGAGGAGCAAGTGAGGAGGAAGTGTCAAACAGGTGCCATTATGAAGTGCTTCCAGCTCATGCCATCGAGCGTAGACTTTGGCACGCTGAAGGAGGGCACCTCCTCCACCATTACTGTTGTGATGAATAATGTTGGTTTTGACATATGCAGGTAAACCACCAGACAGATAGAGACAAGTGACAAGAGATTTTAGGTTTTTGGGGTTTTTTTTGGAGTCTTAGGTCTTGTTTCAATTGTCTTTTAGTACCTCGGAAAGAAATGAGGACTGTTAGGTGGAGGCAATTTATGGGTCACCTTCAAGTCCAAAGGGAAATCTCTGACCTAACTATTTGTGGTTTATTTCACTCTGTCGCTGCCAGGTTCCATGTGAAACAGCCTCCTCCTGCTACAGGCCTCCGGGTCATCTACAGCCCTGGCCCTGTAAGTTTTCATTTTAATGTTTAATATGAAATAAAAATTTAATGTAATATAATATTTATATTAATGTTCCAGCCACTGCTTTTCTACTTTAATGCTATTGAATTAATTGTATAAATGTTCAAAACAGCTGACATTTTTTGTTTGTTAAAGGGTTAAATTCTACTTCCTTCAATGTCTCATAGGCATATGTGGTGTCTTGTTTTACTAGGTGGCCGCAGGTCTGCAGGTCGAACTGCAGGTTCAGCTGTTTGCAATGTGTGCTGTCCAAGCAGGGGAAGTAGAGCCAAAGAAGTTAATCTCCCAGGAAATTATCATCCCTACTGAGAAAGACATCCTCTGTCTGCCAGTCACTGCTAATATCCTTTGAGCACCTAAAGAAACACATTGTGTATAAGAGATCTGCCCAGACTTAGTGAGTAACCAACACCAAAATTTCAAACATACACGTCTGAAACAGAATCAAACCCAAAATAACAAAAAGAAAAGGACTGTTGCAGCTTTCTTTTGCTACACAGTGAATGGTATTTTCAAGCAATGGCAATTTCATCTCTGAAATTGCTTTTATCTGCATCTTTTTTACCTGTAATTGGTAAATGCTAGCAACAAATCCATCTGAGTTTAGCACAAAATGCAAAATGAAAATAGAGTAGACCTCAGCCGGCCTACATTCACTGGTTTCACAATCGACAATCACTTGTGATACTTTACCATGTGGTAATACTACGTTTTTGTTTTTTTGTTCTTTCTTTTGTTGTGGTGACATTACTATAAAAAATAAAAGTAGCTCCACAGATGCCAGGAGTGCTTTAATTCTAGGAAATACATAAAGTTGGTGGGCTGTGAGGCAGCTGCTCATTCTTTGATTCAGGATGTGCCAAACCCCACACTTAGGCAAGCGTAATGCGAGTGTGTTACATCAGCGGTCCCCAACCTTTTTTGCGCCACGGACCGGTTTATGCCCGACAATATTTTCA